GCTGATCGGCCACCACCCTCTCGACCACCTTGCTTAAGAAAGAAACATTGGCGACTACCCGAATAAAGTTATTTCCAGATTTTTTTGAAAGTTACTGGCAATATAGACTGGCAGCATTTTGAGAGTTGGAACAAGTAATGTTTCAGTGTTGATTTTGGTTGTACAGTAGGGCCTCCCATATACCAAGAATCAGTATTCACTGATTCACTTATTCATGGTTTTAAAGCATTACAAGAAAAATAATAGAAACAGATATTTCTAAAGAGGAAGTTATCAGAATTGGCCACTAGAAGGAGCCTGAAACCATGCTATGTCTACTGTTCACTATAATCCATGTTTTTCAGCACCTGCGGAGGGGGGCTTGCAACCAATCCCCTGCAGATATTGGGGTTCTACTGTGTAGTATAGTATCATATGCCTCCCTGATGACTTGAGTCAGCTCTGCTTTGAAGTTCTTTTACTTCTCTGTTTGAAGATATTTCACAACATGTATTGTAGGTGGAGTTTAGGCACACAGGAATGAATGAGAATATTCAGAATTAAGATTTCTGAAGCCATCATCAAGCCATTTGTTCCAGAAATGTGCTGTAAGCATCAGGAACTTGGTTCTAGAGTAGGAAGGTGTTGGAGAATGGGCCAGCATGGATGTCAAGAATCCTGCAGCAGAAGCAGAATATTTTTAAATTTCCCTTAGAACAAAATATTTCCAAAGTGGGTCCCCATTTGGGACACAGAAGCAAAGGCTTCTGCGTAGTCAGAATCTTTGAGGGTAGGTATAGTAATTTAGCTGAAGTAAAGACTGAAGTTTGTCTCATTGACTTTATCTTCTGTAAGCAAAATTTGGACAAGAAATCCAGCAGTCCATTGCTGGTTCAGCAAGTCAATGTTATTTATGAAATATAATACATTTATATTTTTTGTCTTCCTTACAGTAAATAATGGATATATCCTATTTAGAACAACAGAAGTAGGACATCCTTTTTTTCTTCCTGAAGGAGTTCACAGCACCATACATGGTGTAACTCCCAATTTTT